ATTTAACAACAAGTCATTGAAAAAGGCGATGTTTGAGCGATTCGTTTGGCTATGAACATAAGTGAGGTGGTCGTATGTTGACAGTATTATTATTCCGCCATCGCCTGGATCAAATATTTCGACTTGTAGAGTTTTTTCACGGAATAGAGCAGACTGAAAGAACTGTCATTTTCACGTTCTATATAGATCCAAGATTCGTCTCGTCTCAAAAACCACGCTCGTGTATCTGGTGTATTCACATGGAGCAATTCACCACCACCGTCCTGAAACTTACAATGAGGATCTAAAGTAAAATGGATGAAAAACTGTTTGGGAGTTTACTAGACAGTTTGAGTTATGATCTATAGACAAACATTTTATGGGTTGCGCATAATTTGGAAAGTTTCTGTGTGGTAACAGGAAATGGTATGGTGTAATTTCAACAATGAGTTGTGAGTATAATAAAAATTGTCATGAATATCAGCATTATCTTCTCTTGAATTTTCGTTATTTGTTAACCTTTTCGTTGATTTTAATAATCTCATCGATATATTCTTGAGCTTGTTCATTATGCGCTTCATTTCGAACTATCTGACGAAGTCTCTGTAGTCGTCTTAATGCTTTTGTTTCCAACTCTTTGGCTCGTTTCACTTGACCTCTCAGACTTCGAACCTTAATTTTGATTTGTATTCCATGAGAAATTTCCACACACCTTTGAGCATATGCGATCGTTTAAAACGAATGCAAGATATGAATTGGATATGTCTTGTAAGTAACGTTCTATGGCATCTACTCTTAGCTTTAAATGTTTTCGATGTGTGATCGGTTAACTCGAAATATGTCAGTCAAGTTTTATTGTCGATTAATCGAATCTGCTTAATGAATTGAGATGGGAGCACCACAAAATAGAATATTAAGCCAACTACTCACTAAAGCATCTTCGAGTTGTTTCTCGTCGTATGGTGAGGAAGACGACGGCTCACAGTTCATCTTTTCACTAAAAATGAAGAATTCGAGAAATTTTAGATTTAAGTATTGGTAGGCTTATTCAAATTATAGTGGCTATACTGACCGTGAATAAATTCCCATAATTTGTGTCTCATTCATAAAGTTATCGTATTTTTGTATTATTGAATCGTTTAGTAATTTATTGAATTTTCATGGATTGCTTTATTCGACAGTGAATGTGAATTGTTGAGTGTTGGATTAAACGCGTATTGCTCTCATCGAGTGCTATTTTCATTTTCATTTTTCAGTGACTTTATATTCAGAATTCGATTGTTTCTTTACATTATTATCATTATTAGTTTTCCCATTATTATTCCAACTCTCCATTACTGAAATTTTCTTTTTTGCAGATCAATCATACGTAGTACGGTCAACAAAAAGATGTCCAATTGGCCAAAATTCGATTTTCCATCGCCAAAATACTCTGCGTGGACTCGGAAACGGTCGCTGATGAATGGTGAGGCTGCGCCGAAACGAAGACTGAATTTTGTTCCCGCCATCGACGAAAATTTCGAAAAATCTTCAACTTCTTCGCCTTCAACAAGCCGATGTTGTGTTGTCAAATTAGACGATACCAAAAATCGAGTCATATCG